GGTGGAGGGGGTGGGGCTGCATCTGTGGGGGGAGGGGGGCCCGGGGGTGCACCGGCAGGACCAGAGGGTGTCATCTCGTCAGGCACGATGGAGGGAAGGTCGGGAATGACACTTGGTACGGATGGAGCGATTCCAGGGCCAAGGTCAGCACTGTAGGCAAGGTCATCTGCCACTCCTGCAAGACAGGTGAGATGGAAGGTCAAGGTTAATAAGTGAACCTCACAGTTGAGGGTTGACATCATCACATAAAGGCATCAATCCAACAGCAGAACTACATTGTACCTTTACAGAATACTGTAAGTCCAGTTATGTTCACGAATGCTTTATTTCACGAGATGGAGCAATTTGGGAGTTCACGAGATCTATGACTTCGCGAGTCGGTATTTTTAACAAGGCGTTACATATGTCTCTGTCGGCAAACTTACCGACAGTCGGTACGGGAAATTATCAATCTTTTTTTTCGGGACGCGCGGTTAGAACATGGTTTCTTCGACATGACACTTGCCCATTAACGCAAACTCGGGGTCCTGGGTGCAATGGACGGCATCGCCAACAACGTGGACATCGCCAGGGGATGGGATGGCAATGGGATCAGAGCCGCCTTGAGCCGCGCGCGTGAGTAAACAAAGCAGCCGCCGGTCCGCCGCCGCCATGTTTGAACTTTCGACTCGCAAATTTTGCCAACTTCTACACGTAAATTCCTCACGTAAATCATCATTAGTTGTGAAATTTTAGCGCACTTTTCTATAAATTTGCTGGTTGGGAACATTCAAAACCATGTTGATTTAATAAGTTGTAAAAAAAATCAAGCAAACTTAGACCATTAGACAACGCGCTATGTAAACAAAGGCCGCCATGTTGGATTTCTTGTGATTTGTCGATCGGCTTGGCGGGTACTCGGCGGTAGATTTTCGTGCAATTCTTCCCTATAAATACCTGTTAATGTTGTATATGTAGCGTAAAGTTTCATGGGATGTATGGAAATCTTGTGAAATGATTTTTTTGCGTGTAGCTTTGGTGAGTAACGTTTAACCCGTGTAGTTTGATCTTTCGAGGTATAGACAAAGACCCACGCCACGCTATCCCGCTTGGTTCTATTTTTTGCCGATTTTCCGTACCGTAAATATTCTGCTTAACGTCGCTTGTACACGACAACTTTTCACCGATGTATGTTGTAAAATTCCGTATGTACGATGTTGCACATGTTTACAGCTGTTCGCTGCTATGTTATCGCTAAACTAGCGTTCTTGTTAAAACTGATGTTGTATAGTCGGCTTTGTAAACTTTTACCATTCTTTGCAATTAGCACTTGTACTAGTAACAAAATAATGATTCCGTGAACCATATGCTCATTGAATAAAGTTTATTTGATTCTGAAATGAAGTCTGCTGTTATTCGTTGAGTCTTGTCATTTACTAGTACTACGTAATGTAGAAGTTGTTAGTATAGTGAATAGAGTTGCGACGCACGATGTGTGGGGGAGGGGGGTGGTACGTACGGAATGGGTTCGCGAGGAGGTGAGTTCACGAGAAGAGCGTCTTCGTGAAAACCGTGAACTTAAAGATTTCGTAATCAAAAATGGACTTACAGTATTGTGAAAAACTGCACACTGCAGTACTGACAAATCACACTAGAAGGGGTTTCTACACAACAAAGCAAGTCTATCCCTTTGGCAGTAATAGCTTTAGCTATAT